GAGTATATTCCCAGTAGTGGAATTGCTGAGTCAAATGGTATTTCTATTTGCAAATTTTTGAGAAAGCCCCATACAGCTTTCCATAGTGGTTGAACCATTTTATACTCCCTCCCACCAACAGTAAATAAGGGTTCCAGTTTCTCCACAACCTTGCCAACATTTGTTATTTGCGGTTCTGTTAAATTTTGCTGTTCTTGCTGGGTGAGATGATCTCTCACAGTTGTTCTGATTTTCATCTCTCTTAGAGCTAGGGATTTTGAACATTTTTTCATGTGTTTCTTTGCCATCTGAATGTTTTCTTTATGTGAGGTGTCTGTTCATATCCTGTGCCCATTTTTCAATTGAGTTGTTTACCTTTATCTTGTGGTGGTGCTCGAGTATTTTATAAATTTTAGATATAAGTCCCTTATCTGACATGTCATTACCAAATACTATTTCCCAATCTGAGGCTTCCCTTTTTATCCTGTTGGAGAAATTTTTAGATGTATATAGGGATTTGATTCTTAGAAGGTATCATTCATCTATTTTGTCGTCTCCTGGTGGTAGGTTTTTCAGTATGCTTAGAAGACTGTTTATGTTGTGGATTAGGACAAATTCCCACCGACCTGTTTGCTCCTGGCTTGTCAGTGAGACCCAAGAAAATGCAGTCAAATTCCTACCCAAATGCTCATTCCTGGCAAGTTGGCAGAGCCCAAGAAAACTCAGTCAAATTCCCACTGACAGGCTTGCTCCTGGTCGGTGGGTCCCACAATGGCTCCTCTGGCGGCTTCTGCTTGCTCCTGATGGGGTGGTGGTTCTTAAGAAAACTCAATTTCCCACTGACAGGCTTGCTCCTGGTCTGTGGGTCCCACAACGGCTCCTCTGGCGGCTTCTGCCAGGGCTCACTGCTTGTTGCTCCTGTGGGTCCCAAACTAATTATTTTATTAGAAGTTCTGATTCAAATTCCTACTGTCTGCATCATGCCACATTGGTCTCTGTGTGCTGTGTCAGTCTCTCTGGTGGCCCGTTTCTATGCAGCTTGCCACTCCTCTAGCTCCTTACACTGTTTCCTCCACCACCGCCATCTCGGTTTCAGTGATCAATGTTCTTATAAAAGAACACAAAACATTATAGTTTCACACAAAATATTTAAACGCATAATACAGCTTTAGTTTAGTTCTTTAAAATATTTGAGATTAAAATGAAGGTTTTCGCATATTGATATGCAGCCAAATGTTTAAAGCAATTTGTTGAAATATCAATTCTTTCTACATTGAATTACATTTATTTGTCAAAGAGCAATTGGCTGTGTTGGTGTAAATCTAAATCAGGATTCTCTATTCTGTTACATTAGTAAGAGTCTGAACCTTTATGTCTACATGTATACAGTGGGATTCATCTAGCTTTATTTTTTTAATTTTCAAGAAGCATTTTTAAAAATATCTCCTTTCCAAGTTTAACTTAACTCCTTTGATGTTTCATTTAAATACTGAAATGAACACACTGATGTCTCAAAAATATACAAAAATTTTTATTGGTATGTTGCAAATCTATTCATGTTTCTGTACAGAAGGTTGAATCTTAAAATCAATGAATACCAGATGCATCTTCACTTATTTATATAATTTTTTATTACATCAGTTACTTTTAAATGTTGCCAAAAAGAATAAATAATATTCTATAAAGGAAAAGCTTTGTTTTATAGACTTTCTATCAGAAGGACAAATCTCATCTCATATGTTGTTGTTGTTGTTGTT